TGGGAAATATTATGCAATTCCTAGGGATTGTGGTAATGGGTATTCACCCTCCGTGTAATCATAAGTAGACAGTTAAACACGAGATTATAGGCATCAAGAGTTGTTGATTGTTTACTAAAAACCAAGAGGACCATCCAATATGATCCAACAGTACTTATCATTCAGGGAGAAGAAGGAAGTGCCTTTAAACATACCCACTGCGTATAATTTACTCTGATGAATACCCACAGAGTGTGTGTTTCATGTCAAATACAAGTTAATTTCCCCCCTGGCTCTTTCCCATGAACTTGCCACGAGGCCGTAACTACTTAATCTCCCTAGTGCTGGAGTTCCAGAAAACTCTCTTCCAAATTATAGTCCTGGAGAGAGTCCCGCTCACCCTGTCCCTTACCTCATCTGTCAGCCCAGAGGAACGTACCCTTGGCTCTTGGAGCACCTCCATCTTTTATCACATCTTTCCTGGGGTCGTGGCATCCTCAGTCATCTCTCTTTGTGACTCCTCGACAAACTTCTTGCAGGAGTCCTTTGACCTCCATTCTCGTGTCTGCATCACAGAAAAGCAAGAAAAGACAACCAGCAATGAACCCAGATACGTTTGCTGAAATGCTCTAACATCCAGTTTCGGGGGTAATCCTCAGACCCTAGTTGTCAACATTTTCCTGTTGCATGAGTTCCCTCCGATTCACATTAAACAAGAATCAACTCTGGAAAACTCTTCCTGTTTAATGTTTGATAATTCTTTATCTTTGCCTGAAATTCCAATTCGCTGAGCTTTAAACCTTCTCATTCTGTCCTTTATCATATTTCTTTCTTTCTCTTCCGTACTTTTCAGTTCTTTGTCTCTCTGTACCGCATTCTGGGTAAGATCTTTGGGTATTTTTCTGTTCATAATTCTTCCTGTCTTACGTTTACAATAACAAAATTAAGTAGTCTATTAAAGCACAGTACAGGCTTATTTGAAAATTTCACACACACACACACACACACACACACACACACACACACACACACCACACACTCATATCCTTGAGATTTCAGCATTAAACAGTTGCACATTTCAAGTTTCAGACGTTTATTTATTAGTACGGTAAATTCCAGAAGAGACACCAAAGTGATCTTGCACATTTAAGGGGGGAAACATCATCTCCTATCTAAGTAGAAAGTTGTGTGGATGGCTTCTGAAAACCTTCATTCTCAGTAGCTGTACAAAAGGAAACTTTCCTTTAGAAGTTTGAGCCTTCCTTCCTTCATTTTGCTGCAACCTACAAGCAACGAGTAGTCAGTGGGAACTCCAGGTTAGGAGTTTTTTTTTTTTTCTGTCCTACTTGACATAAGGACTGAGTGTCCCTTCTGTCCCAAGTGACATCAAGCCACTGTCACACTCAGCCCCAAGAGGAGACAGATCAGGTTGGATGCTTACAGCCTGAACATACACAGACAGAAGACTGAATGTTCCAGGCCCAGGAAAACATGGTTTCTTCCAGCTGTGTCTAGTCTACCTTTTAACCTATCCTTTTGTTTTGTTTTGCTTTGTTTTGTTTTGTTTTGTTTTGTTTTAATAAAGGTACTGGGGACTGAACCCAGGACCCCATGCATGCACACTACTACTGAGCTATACCCCCCACCATTGGGTTTTAATTTCCATTGTTATCATTATATTATTTTTATTTATTTATTTTTAATTCTTATTTTTTATTGAAGGGTAATTGATTTCCAATGTTAGTTTCAGGTGTACAGCAAAGCGATTCAGTTATACATATACATACATATATATTTCAGTTTATTTTTATAAGTACTATGTTTCTTTTTTCAAATCTGTCTGGTTTTTTTGATAGCATTCTTATTTCTTGCTTCTGTTTCTGATTCCCGCTTTTTAGTTCTTTAAACCTCGTGAAATGCTCGCTTTAGATTCTAAAGGAGAGATGCCCGCGTCTGATGTCCCTGGGGGGGGCTGACCTCTTATTGCTGGTCCCACTGACTCCTGCTGCAGCTGGTTTCCTCCTGTGTTTTGTAACTGGGGCTACAAACTCACATCTCACTGACTGAGCTGTATTTGCGGGATCACATGAAACTTTAGCCGAGCGTGCAAACCTCCAAAGAGATCTTCCCTTTAACTCTGCCACATGCCCTCAATCCAAGACCACTATAAGTTAAAAGTTCTTACTCATGGGGTTTCTGGACAGCCCAGGTGATTCAAATTCATTCCTTAAATCCATATGAGGGAAGACCAGGGTTATATGTTTTCAAAAGACTTTTCTATACATCTAGGGTCAAGGTCAAAGCAGTTGAGTTTCTTTGTTGTGTCTTTGCTGGTGCATAGAGATTTCCAGGTCCACCTTTATGCAGAGTGTGGCATACTATGTGAGGGGTCTTATTTCCAACTTCCCTACCTGCATGGATTCAAGGTCACGTCTCCTTCCTCCACGAGGCCACTAAAACCCACAGCTCTTGGAAACTGAGACTGCTAAACTCCTCCATGGGCTCTATGTATAGAAGCTGCCAACACCTGCTTACCTCTGTAATTCCCCAGTCTCCATTTTGACTCCTGAGAATTTCCCCTGCTTTCTTGAACATACAAGTCACTTGCAGAATTATTCACAATAGCCAAGACAGGAAAACAAACAATGTGTCCACTGGAAGATGAATGGGTAAAGAAAATGTAGCATGTAAACAATGGAATACTATTCAGCCACAAAAAGAAGGAAATCCTGCCATGTGTGGCAATGTGGATGGACCCTGAAGGCATTATGCTAAGTGAAATAAGTCAGAAATAGAAAGGCATATACTATGATATCACTTATGTGTGGAATCTAAAATAAAAACAAAATGTGTAGAAAAAGAGATTAGATTTGTGGTTACCAGAGGCAGGGGATGGAGGGAGGTAGAAATAGATCCAGGTGGTCAAAGGTATAAACTTCCAGTTATAAGATAAGTAAGTCATTGGATGTAACGTACAACATGACAACTATATTTAACACTGCTGTATGGTATATTTGGAAGTTGCTAAGAGAGTAAATCTAAGAGTTCTCATTACAAGAAAAGAACAAAATTTTTCCTCTTTTTTTGGTAAATATATGAGGTAATGGATGTTAACCAAACTAATTTGGTAATCACAACACTTATAAATCAGGTCATTATGTTGTACATTTTAAACTTATACAGAGCTGTATGTCAATTATATCTTTTTTTGTCAATTATATCTTGATGAAACTGAAAGAAAAAATCCGCAAAAAAAGTTTTAAAAAGAGTACACTTGTATATTTAAAAGTAACGTCTTAAAATTATTGTATTTAATATTTGTTTTATTTAGCATTGTTTTTGCAGGATACCTACTCCACCGTATTACTGGAAAAGGAAGTTTCCTTCATATTTATTTTAAAGTTTTTTTTGGTGGAGGAGGTCATTAGGTTTATTTACTTAAATTTTTTTAACAGAGGTACTGGGGATTGAACCCAGGACCTCATGCATGCTAAGTGCACACTCTACCACTTGAGCTATATTCTCCCCCATTCTTCCATTTTAAAAATCAGTTTTTTTCCCTTGGGGGGTAAAAACCCTTTAGTAAGAAAAGAAATAGTACCATAGCTAGGTTGAAAAAACAAAAAACAAAAAACACCTGAAGTCAATGTACCTGGATATATAAATGTTGTTTATTGTGCCACAAACCGTGACAGGGGTGACACGGGAAGTGCCTAAATGAGGCTGCACTTGATTTAGGCAATGTTATCTTATATAATTTCATTTAAAATGTGTATATTCTTGCCTCCCTAACATGAATTCTTTGCTAGTATTAATGTAATTATATGCGCCAAATGGAAGACTGGTTAAGAAATAAACAGGATCATAGAGGAAAAAAACGGTATTGCTAAGTGAGACACTAAGGTGTGTCGGAGGCTCAGAAATCCCTTCTATGTTTAATATCACCCTGGTGTGTGGAATGGGCATCTGGACACTGGACACCAACCAGGTCAGACCCACTCGTAGCCAGATGTAATCGTCTCCCAGGAGAACGGTCTGCCCAGCGGCACATACAACTGCTGATGCGTGATTGTCCCACCACATCCAAGACCCTGTGGTCGCCTGGGCTTGGATGCTACGGTGGTGAGCACACTTCTCAGTTTCCACGGTATCCATTTACTCACGCAAGCTGGTTCCCCAAACCTGACCCACTGGCCTTGCAAAACAGAAACTGCTTCAAGTGTAGGAGCAGCAGCGGGGTTCTTCAGCTCAAAACCATCTCCTCGGGGAGCTTCTTTATCTTGGCTGCTGACAGCTCAAGTTCAGATGCTGTGGCAGGGCCTTGGGGGATGTTTTCAACATTTGGGGTTCATCAGCTCTGCTCCTTTCCATCCTACTTGTGGTCCAGCTTATGAGCATGTGTGCAAGTTTGCATCTTCATAGCACCTCTCCTTGCTGGCTTTGACAATGGCCTCAGGAGGCTGTACAAATGAACAGTTGGGTTTTGATGTCACGCAGTTTAAGATCCCAGTGCTATGACTTCTCGGCCTTTGGGGCTAAGATCAAGTATAGTATCTGTTCTTATCAGTTTAATATCTGATACGTAAATATATTAAATAGATTTTTGGAGCATAAAAAAAATCCCACTTACCACCCATGGGAACTTAGAAAATTACTTAACCTCTGTGAGCTCAGCTTCCGCAAATAAGAAACATGGGTAATATTGCACATCTCAGCAGAGGGTCAGCTAAGACCTTTAACGCATGGCTTGGCACACGTTAAGTACCGGAGAAACGGAAGCTCCTACCGTTAATGGGTGGCGCCACAGTTATGGATGGTTAGTCGGTGTAGAAGGGCTGTGGAAAAAGTGGAAAGATGCCCCTGGCTCTGGTTTCACTTGACCCAATGCCGCGTGGGGTGTTTTCTTCCTCCAATTTAATTCCTGCTTCCTGCCCGTATCCTGCTTGCATCCTGGTCCTGCCATTCACTAGTTAAGTGACCTTAGAGAAGCGTATTGCGTGGGACGGGTCGCGAGCTAACACATCTCTGGGCTGACACAGAGAAGTTTATTTTTCACTCAGGCAAGGCTGGCTGCGGCGCCAAGGAAGCCGGCTCCCTGGCAGGGAAGGCGCACACAGCGTTCTGCGCGTTTCACGCCTCCGCCCGCGGAGTCTCAGCACCCGCCCGGGCAGAGGGAGGGGCACGGGGACAGCCCACCCCTCTCCTGTGTGTCCAGTGCTGCTCCTGGCGGCCCACAGGCCAGGGCCAGTCCCGTGGCCTTTCCTGCTGCCGGGTACCGGGGGGGGGGGGCTGGGGCATCATAACTGATGAGCATCCCTGCTCCTGCCAAGGCAAGCCCCCCAGCCTCCTGTGCCTCATGTTCCTTATCTACAAAACGGAAAAATGCCTCCCAGGGCTGTCATAAGGATTAATAGTACGCACAGAGGATGCATGGTGCCTTTGTCAGGGTCCTGGCAGGAAGCAGATGGCACCCAGACAGGAATTTATTGTTCCCAGGAGACAACGAAGGGTGAGACTACAGGGTGTGGACAAAGGACGGGAACCATCCAGGGTGGTGTTTGAGGTCCGATTCCTTAGAAGCGGGACAAGCCCAACTTTACAGTGTGGGGTGCATTTGGTAGACCATCACCCCCCTGGGCACGTAATGAGGCAGATATTGGGGGCGGGGCGCAAATGGAGAGTGAGCAGCACTCATCAAATCTAAGATGCTCAGCGGGGGAGGGTACAGCTCAGTGGTAAAGTGTGCTTGGCATGCACGAGGTCCTGGGTTCAATCCCCAGTACCGCTGTTGGAGAGGAGAGGAGAGGAGGGGAAGGGAGGGGAGGGGAAGGGAGGGGAGGGGAAGGGAGGGGAGAGGAGGGGAGAGGAGAGGAAAGCAGAGGAAAGGAGAGGAGAGGGGAAAAAGGAAAAGAAAAGAAACATCTACCATTTCCTCCTTCTCAGAGAACTAATTCCAAACCTCAGCCTGTTTTCCAAAGCTACTCTCTTTCTCCACTCCCACAACACCCTCCATCTAAGGATGACTCCAACCACACCCAAATATTCACAGGTTCCTACAGTTCTCGTTGGATCTCGGCTCCAGATGGTAGGCCCCTCCCACACTCTTGGTCCTACCGTCCTCCAAGGGCTAAGTCAGTACCAACCTGCTTGATTCTCCCAGAAGTTTGTTTTTATCCTCCCTGTTTTTGTGTCACTGTTGTCTTCCCGGTGCTTGTAATTTGTGTACTTGTTTGTCTCCTTTGCTAGATTACAAACATCACTGAAATCCTCATTTCTATCTGTCTTGTGATGCTTGTCACAGTCTCACATGCGGGAGACACTCAGAAAGTAAATGCACTTTCAATATTTTTTGAAAGCAATTCCTGTAAGAGCTGGGGAAAGAGAAGGCTCCATTGGCAGCCCTTAGATATTAAATAGGGTTCCCTGTGCTATATAGTAGGACTTTGTTGTTTGTCTATTTTATATATAGTCGTGTGTATCTGTTAATCACAAACTCCTAATTTATCCCTCCTCCTCTTTCCCCTTTGGTAACCATAAATTTGATTCCTATGTTTGTGGGTCTGTTTCTGTTTTATAAATAAGTTTGTTTGTGTCTTTTTTGGGTTCCACATATAAGTGATATCATATGGTATTTGTCTTTCTCTGTCTGATCTAATTCACTTACCACGATCATCTCTAGGTCCATCTATGTTGCTGCAAATGACACGATTTCATTTCTTTTTCATGGCTGAGTAATATTCCATTATATATACCTACACCACATCTTCTTTATCTAATCATCTGTGGATGGACACTTAATTTGCTTCCAAGTCTTGGCTATTGTTAATAGTGCAGCCCTTAATTTAGATATGTCTCTCTTTGTAAAAAAAAATTCCCAAACCTCAGACTCCTACCAGTAGATGTGGAGCTCAGGATGCACCTGGCTCTCGGGGGCTGGTCTTCCCCTGCCAGGTGAAAACTGTGAAAGGAACAGAGGGGATGTTTTCCTTACACTAGAGTCAGGGTTCTGGAGGGGCCCCATCTTTCACTTTGCACAGCAAAGGCAACAGATCTGGCTCCTTGCATGGCTTGTGACCTTCCACGTCAAAATCACGAGGGCACAGAGATGAAGGACTGGTTCTCCGTAAGGTGCCTGTTGGGATGGACTCAGAGATTCGCTGAGTTTGCACACACAGGACTCCTAGCAGGAGAGTGTGCCTTGCCAGGACCCCAGCTTCCCTCCAGCAAGCCTTCTAGCCAACGGTTTATTTGCAGACACTTTGTAACAGAATTGCCAGGGAGGCTTTGCTTCCCTCCAGTACAGTCTGGAAAATGGGAGCAGCCTCCTTTCCCGAGATCATCCAGAGCCTCGTCCCCCCACCCCCTCCACTCTGCTGTCTCAAGCACCCTGGGAAGTTGCTGGTCATTTTCTGTCCCCTCCCCTGGCCCAGGACGGGAGGAAAGCAACTGCTGGGTCTCCCTCCCTCAGCAGCAGCTTAGGAGTAATATCCTGTGTTTGTGTGATGTGTTCCAGCTGAGACGTCCCGAGCCCTGTGCAAACAGTTCGTTGTCACTGCACCCTCCCTTTTTCTCACAGTGTCCTGGGTGTGTGGAAGGGGGAACCTGAGCACTTAGAATATAAAGCAGGAGGTTAAAATCTGGGAAAGGTCAGAAAGCCCAAACTCCTGGTTTCAGGGTAACACTCACTTTGGTTCTAAATCAGGGTTTTCCAGAATCTAAAAGAAAAAATATATATGCATGTGTATGTACAACTGAATCACTTTGCTGTACACCTGAAACGAACATTGTAAATCAACTACACTTCAGTAAACTTTTTTTAAATAATAAAAATAAAGATAAATGTTAAAAAAAAATCAGAATCTTCCTTCCTTTAGGTTCCAACCACCTGGCTGCTTCCTTGGGGACCTTGGTGCAGTTCTGGGGGAGGGCAGGTCCCCTGTGTGGTGCTGGCCTGATGGCATCAGTGAAGGCCTGACTAGACTTTGTGCAGAGCAGACTCCATGCGTGTATGAAGGATGTTATAATTCCAACTCAGTGGTAGGAATTCAGATCGACTCCTTTTATATATTTTAACATTTTGCTCTTCCTAGTAAACTCTCCTTTTACAGATGAAAACCTGAGGTCTCAGAGAGGAGCTGGATCCCTGAATCCAAGCTCTTTCCACTGGCCCAAGTTTCTGCGTTCTGCCGAATTTGATGGGACCTGTGACATTTCGACTTTGAAGATGACCAAGGTTGCCTCTCAC